TAGTATACAATTCTAACGGGGCCTCAACGGATCAACTCAGCATTCTATGGGGCTTATACCACATCGGACGGCGGAAGGTTTACTGTGGACTAAGAAATTAGAAAGGGGAATATTGCACTTATGCCTTTGTGGTTTGAAAAAAGTGCACTTTATTCTCCTACTTTCAAAAAAGTGTACTTTATTCTCCTACTTTCAAAAAAGTGCATTCAGCCTGCTTGTGGTTTGGATGTTTGTTCCTTGGTCTAGGGGATAGCTTTTAGGTTTTAATAGAAAAAAGTCTCCCGTTTATTTGAAATTCATCCCTATTTATTATAGCATTGGTACTAGTTTATTTATGCTCTTCTGCACTAATTAAACTTTTAAGTGTTAATTAGTGCCTAAATCATCAAATATTACATTATTTGGAGCACCACTAAAGCCAAAGGCACAAATCTATGCTTTTGAGGTCTTGACAGTGCGCCCTAGGTGTGATCAATTCCTTATTGGATTTATTCAACACCCTATAGTATTCTTTCACATTGTACTTAAGGCATCATTTGGCATTTTAGAAATGAACATTGATAGGTGCCTTGTTGATGCATCACCCCACTATATTACTAGTTGATTGTACCTAGAAGAGTGAGGTGAGGGAGGAGGTAAAGGAAAAAAAAGGATGACAATGAAGAGAGAGAGAGAGAGAGAGAGAAAGAATTTTCTTTTTTACCTTTAATTCTAAAAGAAAAATTACTTATAATGTTTACTTAGTTTTCTTATTTTTTTAACCCCTACAAAAAGTATATTAAAAAATAAGTTGCCCAATTACTACTTAATTGATTGAATTTCAATGGAGGGGAATTGTCAACTAATCCACCCCCCACTTGCCCAAATTTATATTGCATAGTTTTTGCTTACATCCGTTGACAACCAAAAACAGCCTTATAAAGTTTGCAAAGATAAGAGAACATGTGACCATATACTCATTTTTAAAATCTAAGGATCAAAGTACACTCACCTCAAACCTCAAGAGGGACAAGTTAATTTACCCAATTGAAGAGAAGTCTAAATGAAAGAGACAACATGCCTTGCGTGGATGGTAAGTGAGGTCCACGTAGGAATCGACGTGTGAACACGTCAAAGAGGAGGCCAAAGTGTTTAACTTTCAGAGAAGGGCCCGCATACATATGTAGATTACGAGCACCGAGAGCAGAGATTGGAATTCAACCGTGAATAGGGGGATGGGATGAGATCCTTTCGCTTCCATCCTACGCAACTTTGTAGCGAAGCATTGTTTTGTACATTCTCCTCTTACATCCCAACCCTAGCCGACGTGTTTTTGAGTTTGACTTTTATTCCCTAACCATGGTTACTTCCAATCCTAACTAGCTCTAGCCTTGAGGGCTTATCATAACTTTTATTAAAAGATATTTTAAATGATTAAAAATTTGAACAGCTCGTTTCGGTTCAGTATCATCAGAATCTGAATTAGGGTTGTTCATTTCCGTGGGTTGCACATTCGAACCTCACGGAACCCCTTTCCTCCCTCCCTTAATTAATCCTGTAAATAATTACAAATTGTTAAAAAAAAATTAAAAAATTAAAAAATTTTAATTTAAATATTAAACTAAATAGATAAAGATATTAAAGAAAAAAATTATTATTATTGTATAATTTATTATATGAGATACTAAAAAAACCTCTATTTTCTTTTTTTTTTATGAATAAAATATTAATTACCAAAAATATTTAGCTGAA